AAGAAGGCACGGACTCGGTATGCTCATTTTTATGACAAGAAAGTGCGCCCTCTTGAGTTGAAGGAAGGAAGCCTCGTATTGAGAGTGAATGAGGCTGCGCCCGCCAATCAGAGCAGGAAACTAGCTCCGAGGTGGCGAGGACCCTATAGAGTAATTAAAAGGGCGGGGCCGGTTAATCTTGTTATAAAAGGAGTGTTCGAGGACCAGGTGGAAAGGACAATTCACGTGAATAAATTGAAACATTATCATGCTAGAGAGGAATTAGAACTGCCTTCAGCGGGTCTAGTTCCTGACTCAGCAGTGCTGACTCATGGCTTCACCGACGAGTCAGAAGATGAGGATGACCCTCTGTCATCGCTCATCAGTAGTCAGGTGCAGTCTCGCCACCCTATGGTGACGAGATCTCGCGCTGTACAGTAAAGTAACTTCCTTAGTTAGTATAATTTAGTATTGATTAGATTTTCCTGTAAAGGCAATGAGATGTACTATGTCTATACTTAACTCAGGTAGCAACTTTTACCGTGCTCTGGGGTTCCACCTCCACCAAACCCAGAGTATATCTATGCTTCCGCTGTGTTGTGTCTGTCTGTTCCCAGGTCTGATTGGTACACCGACCCAGTTGTTCCAGCCACACGTGAACCCTTGTCTGTAAAGACCGAGGGGGGAGGCACGTTACACAAGCCCTCCCCCCACTAGACCCAGTAACCCATACATCAGTTACTTTGGGGATGAGTGACTGTCCAAGAGTCACCCGGCCGACGCCTCACGTCACTAACGAGGTTGTCAGGGCCAGCGAGCTGTCCACATTATAGCAGTCACCGGAGGTGCCATACAACGCCGGGGTAGCTGTCTCGAGATCACCAATACCCACCTGCTGCGTCATCAAGACTGCAGTCATTCCAGCAGTGTTGGAGGAGAGGTCAAGAAATGGAAAGCACGTAGCAGTACTCAAGAATTTCGCCGGAAGATTAATGATTACGTCATCTGAAGTAACAAGAAAGCAGAAGTAAGGCGGTCACAGGTGGAAGGCACGGTTTCCCTACAGAGTACCGGGACTCGCCAATAGAAGGTCGCAAAATTGTCTCCTTTGGCCTAAAGTCGGCGGTACGAGGGTATGCACAGTTGGTGTTTACGGCCTAGTAACCTGGTGACATCAAGAAACGCCTGAGATGACGTGAGCAATGATGGAAGACGAGATTCACCTGTTCTGCAAACAAGCAACCCGCCTCTACGACCTTCTGACACCACTCCTGCTAAGAGACACCGTTGGTACATCCAGTCCTGCTCTGCTGTGGTCATCTGCGACAAGTTTAACATCAAGACTACCGTGTGAACTGTGATTGATATGAAGGCGTGTGGACTGTCGAGAGCAAGATTAATGGCCGAAGTAACAGTATTCTACAGCTGTCACTTGGCACTCAGCTCTACTACACTCTGTCGTCATTCAGGAGTACCGGATGGGAGTACAAGAGGACCAGGTATTGATGTCTACACATGAAGAAGCAAGATCGACACCGTCATCGTCAGCGACTACATTCAGCATCCAGCAGCATCGATTTTTTTTTTCTCGTTTACTCAATATGAACAATTGATACAAACAACAAAGTTGGCTCTGAACATCTGTGTAAAGAACATCTGGACACTTTTGTTTAAATGTTGAAAAACAGAGTTAGAATCACAATACTTTTTAAATGTTGAAAAACAGATTTAAGAATAATTCTGGTATAATATATGAAAATTTTACTCTATAAATTGGTCAGTAATCAAAATCGAAGCCCCTGTGTAATTGTCTCAGCCCAGAACAAACGGTTATGGAAAATTATGTTGTGCTATTTTTTTCAGAATGTTTGAACACAGGAGAGGCGGACCAATATAAACATTGACACTTCTAGTGAGTGAGAACACTTGGCTGTACAGTCAGCTGAAACCTGTGATATAGTATAGGAATTTTTTTTTATATTTTTAGATACATGTAATAAACGTTAGGTGTGTTCCTTAGCATGTCAAGGTTGACATTGATGGGGAGTGGTTAGTACACGGATGTGAGCTTGATAGTTCCGTAGTACGCTCCCGGATGACTGAAAGTTCAGTCTGATGATATAACTTTAATGTTTGTTTGAGCACGGTGTGGCCGGCTCTAGAGGACACATGGACTTGGCTAGTGAAGAGCCAAGAGAGTTTAATAGCTAGTTTTTGATGGTAGAGTAGGGACATGTTATTTAGCTATGTCAGTAAGGGTAGGATGTATGTTTCCTGATATTGGAGGATTGCTGTCAGTTGACAGCTGAGAAATTTATGAAATATGAACATGTTCATTATGATGTTGGACTATTATTTGTCAAATTTTATTAGTTAGGTTAGCTTTTGTTTGTGGCATGAGTTGAATTGTGGGTTTGGATACTAAACCTCGTGAATTTTAACAAATTAACAAGGTTTACTAAGTGCTTGTGCGGGGGGGTTGTAACAAACTAGGCTGTTGTAAGAATTATCCAGAGTGGTTTATCGACAAAAGAGAATGGGAAGCTGAGCCGCATGGTGACCTGACCCCCAGGGGAATTCGCGGTGGAAATAACCGACGCTTTGTTCATATCTGCGTATAATGAATCATCCTATAGTATTCAGTAATTTAGAGAAAATTAGCCTTTATTCATTTTGCATTAAAATTGTATTGTATAATAGTACTGGATACAATATCAAGAGTATTCTAATTATTGAGTTTAAGTCACCATCAGTGACGTCACGAATCAGATCTAACTTTTAAGGCGGAGTGACTGGCGGTCATAGGTCAGCAGGGTTGACATGTCTAGTATTTCTCAAAGTTCAATAACCATTTTGGGGATCGGGAACAACTCTGCCGTTAGATGTTTGTAATTCAATTCAGTAAAATAATTCAACCAGTCTGGATCAATTAAGTACAACAGAGGTTAATTGTTATAACTTAAACCTGGCTAGGAACTGGGTAGAACTTTGACTAGGCGGAAGGATACAAGGTTCTAGTCTGGGCTAGGCCAGACGAGGACAAAGCAGTGTGGTCACGGAAGCAGCTAGGAGAGGTCAAACATCTTACCTCTCCCCAAGAACAGGCCCAACACCTAGAACTGTGGTCGCCCAAGGTATAGTTGCTATTGTTAAGTATAGAAATAGTCTCATTTGCCACTCAGGTCAAGTAGGGAGTGTTAAAGTGATAGGGAGTGAACACATTTAGATTTTGTTTTAGTTTTCTTTTAATAAATTAAATTTGTTATTAATTTGCATTTTATTGTTTCCATGTGTTTTATGTGTATACTTGTCCTGGTCACGTGGTCCACACGAGGCAGAGTTGCATTGGGCGCCGATTCTAACATCGAATCGGAATTATCATTACCGTGTAATTTATTCCACACTCAAGGTCATCGTTTATAGTGGGGATCAAGCCCCTAGGTTGATTAATTAGCGTGATCGATCCAGACCTCGATCATTGCTCTTGTATTACTGGTCTGGTGGTGGCAGCAGAGGTGACTCTAGGGTTTTGTTCAGAGCTTAGGTCACGTCATACTGGGTGTAGAATCCTAAGTCGGTCAATCGTCTTAGGACCACGTGGCGTGGAGTTGGCTTTGGTAAAAGTTTTGGAGTCCCTTGGTTTAGAAATAAAAGTAAGAATACGGGTAGAGGGAGTAGAAAGAAGGAAGAAAAGAGAGAGGGACCCGAACCCGTGTTACAATTATCCAAATTTTATAATTGCCTAATAACCACTGGATTATCTAACAGGTGGTTTGGATAATGTAGAAAAAATAGAGGGCTTGCAATACAGGTTCAGACAACCATGTGCAATGCCAATGCCGTCTATCCAAAAATGCCAGTTTCCCGATTGGGGCTGGTTTGGATACTCAAGTTCGGGAAATGCAAGGTTCGTATAAAATGGTTCGGGCATCTCATCAGGCAAGCATCCGCCAGGCCTCACGGCCCAGGGAGATGGTGGGTGGTTGCGTGGGAGATGGGGCTAGTTTGCCCAATGACCATATAGGGCCTTCTACCCGCATCTAGTGCCTTCTACCCTGTGACGTCACAGATTCACGGCCCATTGTTCCTATTGTTTTGATTCGTCATGAGACTGGAGTGTTCATTCTGTAACTGTTGGATATATTGCCACAATCTATAAATCCGTGCACCATGTCAGCTCCAAATGCACCCATTGTGTTAGCGAAAACTTCAACAAGCGGGATATGTAAAAGAAAGAGGTCAGTGATGACATTTGAGAAGAAAGTTGAAATAATTAAGGAGGAGAGCAGAGTTCCGAGAAGTGTCGTGTACGCCGAACATGGCATTAGCGCGAGTACTGTTTTTGATCTTATTAAGGCTAAACCTATCTTTTTTACCATTTCTCTAGAGTGAAAGTGATAAGGCAATTCAAAATAGAAAGGTAGTAAGTAAAGCAAAAGTGAAACGTGTTGATAATGCAGTGCGAGAGTGGAACAAACAGAAGTGTGAGGAGCAATATTTTGAAGGCATTTATGGAAACGAGTAACAGTGAGTTTGAAACTCGGGACATGTTGTATGTGAAGTTTTTGAAAACAAGAGCAAAGGCAATGAAACAAATATCAATTAAAGAGTCTTTTGCAAAGGCTTCCAAGAAAGCTCGCATTTTCCCACCTGCACCCGACTCATCACATATTGACCCAAATGCTTCAACAACTAAGGCTACCTAATCATTAATCTCCACTTCAGTCAACCCAACACCATCAACATCCACCACCACCTCTTCCATATAAATAACAATGCTCCATCAACAATAATAATCAAGATAGCAAGTGGATCAGGACTTCTTGTATTGGTGAATCCAAACAAAATACATTCTGTAGTTGTCGAATTTATGCAATGAACTTGTCGATTCCCCCCCCCCCCCAGATTTTAAGGCTACTTATACGAACACAAGTTAAACGACGGGTCTCTGCCCCGAGGGGTTCATAAAGCACGTGGCTGTCTGTACTATAATATTATAGATGATATTTTTTTAAACTTACCTACTAACATAGTAGAGTTGACAGTTTTGTGGAGGAGGACAAGTTGTGGTATATGAAATACTAGAGGTTGCATTCAAGCACAACAATTGATGTAACCAACTCTCAACAGGGTCACCACACTTGTACCGCACACTCTCTTCAAGTGTTAACTCATATAAGGCTCGACCTGAAATAAGAGTGTCATCGTTTACATAGTGGGGTCCCAAAAATCTTTATCAGTTTTTTAATGTTTTACAAGGTAAGGGTTGCCTGGAGGAATTGCATACTCTAGGACTGGTCTCACATTGGCTATATATAGTGTTTTGAATGGGCCATACCACACATGGACTCGATAATGATCTTAGAAGAGAGATGCTGTATCAACCTTAGTGGTACACTGTATATGGGATGCATACAAAAAATATTTGGTTAAGAGTGCCAAGGAAATGTGTGGAGTTGACCAAACTAGTGTTGGTGACAGTCATGGGGTTATAGCTGCTAATGTTGGTAAAGAATATGGTAAACTGTTCAGCAGTGGTATTTGGTGCTAGTGTTGGTAAATCTGGTGATGGTGATTAAATTAGGCTTACTTGAGACTGTGGAAGCTTCTGTTAGTGCAGATGTTGCTCCTGATCCACCTGTCTGCTCCCTCAGCTGTTGCAGCAGTTTGAGTGAGAGTGATCGACCAGTTCCCTCATATCTGAAGTTAACAATAACGATTGATTTTAGCTAATCGCTGACTGTGATTATAGAGTAACCCCATCATTTTGATTGCTTTATGTTGAAGATACCTTGGGGAAAGATACGCACAAACAGTCCCGGGCGGGAGATTAAAAAATGCAGGCGATGCTTTTGGAGAATGACTAATTACTTTGTGTAATTATGCCAGTATTACAGCCCAGTCTTAGAACCTGGGAAGCATATGTCACCAGGGTTTGAGTTACTTCTAAGCAAACACACAACATACTTACAACATTGTGGTTGCGTTGTGTTTGTAGGGTTGGATCACATTTTCTATTAAAAAGTGTGACATACTATTTTTTATAACACATTTGTATTTATTTTAATCTTTTAATGTCACAGTTGGGAAAAGCCTGTACAGTATTTTCTTACTAGAAATATAATACAAAATGTTCATTAAATGTTTTAGTTTGGGCTGCATTTTGACCCGTGGTAAAGAAAAGGTTGCGTCGCATTGAACTGGCAAAGTTTGGCTAATTAGGGTAATACACTCACAATAAAGGGTGTCTTCATAAACTGCCTTGTATCTTTGCTTCTTTAATTATCTGTTTTACCTGAGGCCAATTTTGGGAGTTGTTCTACTCCTACAGCCCAAGCCCAAGGTCAGACTTTTTAGATGATGACTTGCTCAGTAAAGCTGTGCTGGCAGTGGCCTACAGGCCCACATAACCATCACAAACTTGCTGATTGACCATTTCCCGAAGAAACATCTAATTTTATCTTGAAAAATTAAAACTTTGTTCTAGCAATATTTTTTATATCTTCCATTAGAAAGTTGAACAGCAGTGTGTGCCTCTGATACTTGTACAGTGCTCTTTGAGTGTGCTACTGGCAACTCTACTTTCCACTGGCACACTCCCAGTAATTCAGGTGTTTTGCTATATTGATACATGCAGCAAGAATATCTATAAACCTTCTGCTTTGAATACTTGCCTGCCATGAAAGAGGCAATTGTCAAGCAGTATTTCAAGAGAGTGCACAAATCATTCCAAAAGTAGGATCACTGGAGTGGTATTCCTTGTTTTGAATTTTTTGAAAACAAGCCCTATCATTTTACTAGATAATGCTAGGCTTGTTTTATGTTTACTAATGTTAGGTCTTCAGACATCATTATTCCCAGATCTTTAACATGTTGCTTTCCATTCCACAAGATTTGATTGTGTTTTATAGTGTATCTTGTATGAAATTTAGTTAAAAAAAATTCATTCCTATTTCAAATTTTCACTGTTGAACATTTTTCTTTGTTGCCCATTGGAATTTGTTGTTGTATATCGGGACTATTGGCATCTTCTACCAAAGTAATTTTCATGAAGATATTGGCACTTCCTTAAAAGTAGTCAACCGGGCACCAATCTGTGACTGTTGGCCCCTGTTCACCCAGCAGTAATTGAGGACCTTGTTGTAAATGGATTGGTGGGTCAAGTTTCAGGTAAAATTATTAAGGAATGCCTAAAATGAACTATGGGAAGGGAAAGTTCTAAGTCTGCTAATAGAAGTCAGAAGTTGTCTACCCCTCTGTACATAGCTGATTTAAAGAATAAAAAGAAAACAAATTTAATCACGAGTGAATGAATGCATACTAATGACAGAAAATGCATGAAAAGTAGATTGAATACAAAATTTATCACATACCCATTAATTGTGGATGCCATGATGACATTGTAAGAACCAATCAATGACTTCACATGAGACAGAGGAATAGCAGCTGCTTCATCTATCACCAACAACTCTGCTTGAGTTAGCTTGCCTGAATGACTTGGGTCCACATACTATGGAAGAAAATATAGTATATTATTTTTAAATACAGTATATTATTTTTAAATACGGTATATTATTTGTTAAAGTGATGGCATTCACTATCATTGCCATTTCATAATTTCATCGGGTAGGGGGGGGGGGGAGGATGTGCATGAAGGAAAAAATATAAGTCGACAATACCTGTACATTGAAATATGGCTATAGATATTACACAAAAATATCACTCATTCATTCATAACAATGTAGATTATGTTTTAACATTACCCATTTTCATTACTTTACACTCATTTAGAGGAAGTTCCAGTAGTCATTTATCTGCCCATTCCTGAAGTGACTTTCAGATGGATACTGATCAAGAACAGAGCCAATCCAAGATGAAAGCATTGAAAGAAACACGTGTGAGGGAAAAGTTATTGGGTTTTTGTCAAAAGTATAGAAAAGTGAGACATATGTTCTTATATGAAAATACCCCTTTTCAGCATTCTATTGCAAACAATTTGATACCAACCTGAACTATGTAGCATGAAAAATTGAAGTGACAAAGCTGAAAAGGGAATAAACGGAGTGGTGAGCTCTTGGGCAATGCTCGGCCTACCTTGCAGTGCAGGGCAGGTCTAATGTATAGGAAAGTGAGACTTATGTTCTTATACGTACACATTCCTTTAGAGCAGTCTACTGCAAACAATTTGATACCAAATTGAACTACGTATCACAAAAATCGAGGACAGAAAGCTAAAAACAGTATAAATATTTGTAGGGTGGTGGTTGTGATGCACTATTCATTACAGCCATATACTTGTGAAAACAATATAAAGAAATTGTATACTGGGGCAATTACTGCATTGGCTTAGTAACATTTGTGACAATATTTAAATGTGACAAGTAAATTTAATTTGCATAAAAAGATAATTATGAAATGATAGCAGATTTTTTCCCTGGATCAAGGTAAACTCCACTACATTCATATAGAGCTATTACACCCATTAGTATCATTGGTATAAAACCCTGACAATAAGTTTAAATCAATGTATGATAACCACATTACCCTGTGAATCTACGTATGATGATGACCGCATTGAAAGGGTTAAGTGAACAAAAAATGTGGCAACTCTACTAATTTCACTGAATGACATTTTAATTTCAATCAATAATATGATGGATAACATTCCCATAGGTTTAGGGAACTCTGGCCTTGCTTCCTGAGAAATTCTGCACATACTCTGCCTCACTGATCACTCGTTTGGTGAAGCAGGTGAACAAATCCAGTCTGGAAAATGAGCATTACAACCAGAGATTTATCAAAGATTGTACTGTACCATACTGTTTATACTCACTTGGATGGTTTGACGATACTCTCTGAAAATGTTCACACGAACAACTGCTTCATGATAGTCAATATTGGTTGACTGAATCACCTCATAATCAGTTTGCTCTTCATACTCCAAAGCATCAAAACCTAGAATTAATCATCATCATTAGTCTCATATCTGAGTAACTTATAACTCATGATACAGTACACACAAGTATATTAAATAGTCAAATATCAGCACTGTACATTAAATTACAGAGTATTCAACAGGTTGGGATTGAGAGCTGTCAGTCACCAGGATTCTTTGGTTATGGCATATGTTTCCTCTCATAAATTAATCTTGTAGCTTCTCTTAGCATTAGCTATGATTTGGGAATGATTTTAGTGCACTGAAATTTTCTAGTTTCCAGTGAAAGATTATAATGCACATATTGTCCATACAGAATGCCACAAATGTAAAAAGATCATTAGATTTTCATCGGAGTCATGCTGCGTACGTGTAATAAGTCATGTTGTCTACAGAATTTGTCAATTACCATTTTCACATCAATAAACTATATATTTCTTTTATTTTTGTCTGTCTGACTATTCAGTTAAATAGCTTGGATTGATAAATTGAAAATACATATACCACAATAAAAACAAAAAATATTGTCTGATTTTCCTCTTAGGAATTGTGCAGAAACACTGTAATAACATATATGTCCATACATCATACCTTGAAGAGCAACAGAATGAGCAAACTCAGAAAAATTAAAATATCCCTACGAAGAATTTTAAGGAAAATACTGCCATGGATAAGATGAGTTTACCCATTAGTTTGCTCCTACCAGCCCTGACCTATGGGATCAAAACATAAGCCAAGACAAAGAAAGATAAAATTTAGGCTGTTAACTACAATATTTTATTTGCAATGTATAAGAGGGTTAATTTTTACAAAGATGATGTATAAATGGTACATTCTTGTAAAGCCACCAAGATGCACAACTAGTAAAGGGAAAAAATAAGTAAAAGGAAGTGGATATTGAAGTATGATGACAAAAAAGATTAAAAATACAAGATTTGGAAATAATAAGTGGAATATAAGGGGCCCTGACAGCAGAGTGAACAGCGCTTCGGATTCGTAGTACTCAGGATCCGGGTTCAATCCCCAGTGGGGGCGTTAACAAATGGACAGTGTGTTTCACCCTGATGCCCCCTGTTACCTAGCAGTAAATAGGTACCTGGGAGTTAGACAGCTGCTACGACCAGCTTCCTGGGGGTTATCTTGAGGTTATCTTGAGATGATTTCGGGGCTTTAGTGTCCTTGCGGCCCGGTCCTCGACCAGGCCTCCACCCCCAGGAAGCAGCCCGTGACAGCTGATTAACACCCAGGAACCTATTTTACTGCTAGGTAACAGGGACATAGGGTGAAAGAAACTCTGCCCATTGTTTCTCACCGGCGTCCGGGATCGAAGCTGGGACCACAGGATCACAAGTCCAGTGTGCTGTCCGCTTGACCGACCGGCTCTGGGGTGTGTAATAAAAAGGAGGCCTGGCCGAGGACTGGTTCGCGGGGATGCTAAGCCCCGAAATCGAGATAACCAAGATATACCCTTCAAGATATATGTAAAAATAAAAAGTATATGCTAATTTGGACAAATGAAGATAGATAATAATGATGATAGGATTGCAAGGTGAATGTACAAGGGAACTTGACTGAGAGGCCGAGGGAAAGTAGTGAAATACACACTGAAAAGGTTCCAAGAATATATTTGTGACGAGATATCTGGATTTTTTTCTGTTAAGACCAAACCCTTCAAATCCCTGGATGGAACAAGGCATCATAAATAGATATAAAGAAAGAGTAATTTTACCAGCTTATTTTGAATAAAATTTCCAATAATTATGCAATACCTTTAAAGACAAATTCAAAAAATGTGCCAAGGTTTTCTGGTGAGGGGCTGGTGACAAAAATGTTGTTCAAACCAAAATGGACTGCAGCTGCCACAGCCAGACCCAAGGCGGCCGACTTGCCTCGACCACGGCCTGCAGTGACTGATACAGTTGCTCGTCCACTCCTTTCTGTGATTACATCGATCATTTTTAGAATGGCTTTGGCCTGCAAAAAAATGGCTTTCATTAATATTATCTTATATACAGTATACTGTGTATGTATGTGTGTGTGTATATATATATATATATATATATATATATATATATATATATATATATATATATATATATATATATATATATATATATTTTTTTTAAATAGGAAGGGAGTACCACCTCTAGCTGGAAGAAGGGGGACCCATAGCCTCGGAGGAAACCACGCATAACGCATTAGAGGGAATGTTTAGATCCCCTCCAATACAGTTTCTGTGTGCTTTTCTCCTACCACCCCCTTCCTTTTTTATTTTTTGTGCTTTATTATGCATTTGATGGTTACAAGATATACATGGGTTGATACAAAAATAATAATGCAAAAAGGTACTTAAAGGTTATGGATCTCTTGAAAAACACATCAATGGGAAACATTGATGAATGTCACAGACGGGTTCGATCATTGTTGCAAGTCAAACACTTCTTCGAATTCCTCTGAAGTTGGACTAGTGCCCAAGACGCAACATATATATATATATATATATATATTATTAAATATGACCGAAAAAGTAAGATTAATAATTCTAACACGAATTTTCTCAATCTTTCGTACATTACGCTTCACTGTTGGAGGTAAATCAAAAATCACTTCTCCAAAATTCATTTTTATTTCTAGTCTGACGCGACACGGGCGCGTTTCGTAAAACTTATTACATTTTCAAAGACTTCACAAATACACAACTGATTAGAACTTACGTATCTCTGCTATTATATCTACATTTGAGTGAGGTGGGAGGGATGATGTGGCATATAGTGATGTGGCATTAACACAAGACAGAACATGAGGGGATATTAATAGGGTATTAAAAGTATCAACACAAGACAGAACAGAAACAATGGGTATTGAATAGAAGTGTTTGTAGAAAGCCTATTGGTCCATATTTCTTGATGCTTCTATATTGGAGCGGAGTCTTGAGGTGGGTAGAATATAGTTGTGCAATAATTGGCTGTTGATTGCTGGTGTTGACTTCTTGATGTGTAGTGCCTCGCAAACGTCAAGCCGCTGCTATCGCTGTATCTATCGATGATTTCTGTGTTGTTTACTAGGATTTCTCTGGCGATGGTTTGGTTATGGGAAGAGATTATATGTTCCTTAATGGAGCCCTGTTGCTTATGCATCGTTAAACACCTAGAAAGAGATGTTGTTGTCTTGCCTATATACTGTTTACCTATATGTATGTTTATACATATAGGCAGTATGTTTATACTATATACTGCCTCGTTGGACGTAGAATCGCTGTTTACCAACGTACCTGTGGACGAGACAATCGGAATGATAGCCGACAGAGTGTATCGTGATCCAGCCTGTACTCCTCTTGACATGCCAGAAAGTATTCTGAGGAAACTACTCCAAGCTTGTACTAAAGAGGCACCCTTCTTGAGCCCGGATGGGCACATGTATAAGCAAGTAGATGGGGTCGCCATGGGTTCTCCCCTAGGTGTCCTGTTTGCAAACTTCTACATGGGTACCATCGAGCAAAAAGTCTTAGTCGACATGAACTTGAAACCGGCCATATACTGCAGGTATGTTGACGACATTTTTACACAGGTACCTGATGTCAGACATCTGCAGGAGCTGAAGGAGGCATTTGAGCAGAGTTCCGTGCTGCGTTTCACTTACGAGACGGAAAAGGATGGGAAGCTGCCTTTTCTAGATGTAACAGTCATGGAAAAGGGCGGAGGTTTCCACACTGCAGTCTACACTAAGGAAACAAACATAGGAATGTGCCTAAATGCCAACAGCGACTGCCCTGACAGGTACAAGAGGAGTGTTGTTAACGCATACGTCGACCGTGCTCTCAGCCACAGCTCAGAATGGAAGCAAGTCGACGAAGAACTCTGTAGGGTAAGGCAGGTTCTAGTCAATAACGGCTTCTCCAATGGTTTCATCGAAGACATCATAAGAAGGAAAGTGAAAAGCCATGCAACCTCTGAAGAGACAACTAACACAACACCTATACCCCCTATTAGACTATTTTACAGGAACTTCTTTTCCACAGCTCATAAAACGGAGGAAAGGGTCCTGAAAGATATTGTTAATAGGAACGTTATCCCTACAGACAAAAATCAGAGGATACAACTGACGATTTACTATAAAACCAGAAAAACGGCCAGCCTACTCATGAGAAACTCTCCAGACACAAAACAGAACGCTTTAAAAGAGACTAACGTCGTCTATGCCTTCAAATGCCCACTTGGGGACTGTAAGCTCCAAAAAACCCAGTATATAGGCAAGACAACAACATCTCTTTCTAGGCGTTTAACGATGCATAAGCAACAGGGCTCCATTAAGGAACATATAATCTCTTCCCATAACCAAACCATCGCCAGAGAAATCCTAGTAAACAACACAGAAATCATCGATAGATACAGCGATAGCAGGCGGCTTGACGTTTGCGAGGCACTACACATCAAGAAGTCAACACCAGCAATCAACAGCCAATTATTACACAACTATATTCTACCCACCTCAAGACTCCGCTCCAATATAGAAGCATCAAGAAATATGGACCAATAGGCTTTCTACAAACACTTCTATTCAATACCCATTGTTTCTGTTCTGTCTTGTGTTGATACTTTTAATACCCTATTAATATCCCCTCATGTTCTGTCTTGTGTTAATGCCACATCACTATATGCCACATCATCCCTCCCACCTCACTCAAATGTAGATATAATAGCAGAGATACATAAGTTCTAATCAGTTGTGTATTTGTGAAGTCTTTGAAAATGTAATAAGTTTTACGAAACGCGCCCGTGTCGCGTCAGACTAGAAATAAAAATGAATTTTGGAGAAGTGATTTTTGATTTACCTCCAACAGTGAAGCGTAATGTACGAAAGATTGAGAAAATTCGTGTTAGAATTATTAATCTTACTTTTTCGGTCATATTTAATAATATATGTCTACAGGAAAGACTGCTACCAAAATATACTAATATATATATATATATATATATATATATATATATATATATATATATATATATATATATATATATATATATATATATATATATATATATATATATATAATTGAAATGGGTACTTTTGTATATTAATACATCTTCAGAAGGAATGAATGAAAAATCATTCCTCCTGAAGATGTATTAATATACGAAAGTACTCAAGGAAATCCCTGTTTCAATTCTTCCTCCATGGTCTGACACTCACATTTTTCATCACGTGTTAATTTTCGTGATTTACACTTTTATAGGTCTATTTCGTATAAAATAGACCTATAAAATAGGTTATAGGAAAGCTGTTAACAAATCTGCTAATTTTAGTGAATATTCTGGTGGTGGTGGTGTGTTGTGTGTGTGTGTGTGTGAGAGAGAGAGAGAGAGAGAGAGAGAGATAAAATCATTGCATTTCTGAGAAAAAGAAGTGCCCTTTCAAAATATATCATGAAAATCATTATCTGGGAACTTTTCTACTATAACCCATCCACCCATTTAGAGGGCAGTTTTCAAAGTAACTAAATTCACACACACACATATGGATAACAATTGTGAAAATTGCTACTATACTTACTTGGTCTACTGTTTTACAACAGCTTACTAGCTGAGGAAGTGGCTTGTCACCATCCTCAAGGCTCTTCTGCAGATCCAACAGCCTGACTTGAGATGCCTTGGCCTCGTCTAATAGCACAGGGCTCACTGGTTGAACAGGGCCACACAGTGATGGCACTTCAGGAATAATCTGAAGCTGGTCATTCAAAATCAAGCAAGATTTGCACCATCCCAGGGAGAGGACAAATCTGCCAGGGAAAAAATAAAACAATGAATTACAATTTTGACTGAATACTTAATTAAACTGTCTTGATCAAGTACAATGTAGTACTGTACATTAAAAAAAAAATAAAGTTTTAAGAAAACATAACAATAATTAATTCAAACATACCAAACATCAGTCATGATATATGCATCTAAGCACACGATTAAATAACACCCGACTCACCTTTCATTAAATAGTGGGCTAATAAGAGGGTGTGAATATGTCTTTAATTTACTATGAACATCCATGGAAAGAGAGAAAAGATCCCTCAAGGATTGCAACGCTGGCATAGCAACTACGATAACACCTCCACCAGCAACGGTTTCCACAATGCGGCATAATATGTTAGGGGACACAGCTTCAAAATCCTGTAATAGATAAAATAATAATATTGCAAAAGGCCTATAAATAATTACAAATATGTAATTGTGAAACCTTACGTATATATCAAAACAAAAGTAAAAAATAAACTACCAATTGAGTTCTCTCTCTGCTGCAATTAAAACATTTAGGTTTCGAGTATAGAGAAGTTCCTTTTTGACAAGGCCATATTTATGCACTTAATTGACCTATTTCATCAACCATATGACAATTACAGATAATGGGTGGAGAGATAAATGGAACATATAAACTCCATATTCTTCCAGTACTGTACCTGTATTACACACATTCCAAATGTGCTTCCCAAGAGTTTCTGTGTGTCTGAGAGAGAGCAATACCTCACACATGTTGATAAGAGAAAAAGATCAAATGCATTTTCTTTAGAGATGTCACTCTTTCCAGACTTGAGGCTTTTCTCAAGTTTCTTCAAGTGTTTCCGGCTTTGTCTGAAGAACAGAAAACAAACTTAAATTGACAAGGGTACCATCATCATCAAATAAAATAGGCAAACAAAATACAAAATATGAATAATATATTTAACGGAGAAGCTTTTAATAACAAAATATTAAGCCAGTAATTAAGTAAGGAAATCTAATTTTTCTATCATCCACCAAGAACCTTCATAGTTATTTTGGTGTCATCAGCAAAGAATGACTTAAATCTGTAGACTGCATTCCTGTCTGTCTTCTATGGTAATGAGAAAGTAAAACAAACATTAGATGAAACTAAAGAAATACAGGTACTGAACAACAAACCTTGGAACATCAGAATCCTTCTTGTGACACCAAAGTATTGACGGTCGCTCACCAGATGACTTGGAGATTAAATGATGAATGATCATAACCTATGACAAAAAGAAATTGATAATTAACAAGGAGAAACCCACCTATATCAGGCCAATTGCTGGTACAGTAATGCATCCAGTTAATGGAGCCTACAGAAACTTATCAGTGCCTGCACCATTCAATATACATTAACAAAACAACAATGATAAACTTGTGTAATATAGTCCATTAACACAGAAACAAATAAGAACATTCTGTTGTACATAACCAGGCACAATAATTATTTTTTGGCCATCAAATTTAGGAAGGCTAAAATGGATTTATTTTCTACTGTTTTCACCTATACAGTATGTATCATGCTTAACCATTAAGCTGCGCAAAATGTCATATGAAGTCGGACAGAGCTCAGTTTTTAAAATTTGCTGAAACGTTCTCAAATGTTTTGTGCATAATCTACTAGGTAACTGCTCCAACTTTGTCTAAATGATACAAACGTAACTTGAAAAACAAGAAAATAAAAAAATAATTATAAAATTGAATATTGAAAACTTCAGGTTATGAAATCAGCTTCAAAAATATAAACTATCACCAATTGTTCATTTGGTGTTATTATGCTCTCAGAATAGCATATGATCTTCAATTTCATATACCTGTACCTGTATTTAGAATATAGATTTTCAGTATAGTTTACTGTAAAAAATAAATTGTCAATATGGCATCTGAAATATGTGCAAATTTAGACAACAAAAATTTATAACTCCAAACATTTAGGGTTTATGAAAATTCAGTTCTATAGGGATTGTAGAATAGACAGCTGTGCACACTATATGTAAAAATGGTGAGAATCGGTCAAACTAGATGTTTGAATACTGTAGTAAGTTGAAATTCTAGTTATAGATATAATTGAAGTTACAAAACTTTACAAAAACATGGATATTTTTTTTTTTTTTTTAGCAAAGTCAGGCTACAAAAATATCCAAGTAAGCTTGAGGAAATGGACACTAAATTTTGGTTCACCAATAATTGTTGCTCTGGCCCAGAAGGGCTCCAGTCCACTAGAAATCATTCAAGTATGGTTCCACTATACTAGTAATGTACATCAAAAAATATCTTGCAATTATGTACTGTAGATGAGGAGTTACAATAAATTGGCTGAAAAATGTTGACCAAATCACACACTAGAAAGTGAAGGGAAGACGACGTTTTGGTCCGTCCTGGACCATTATCAAGTCGATTGTAATAATGGTCCAGAACGGACCGAAACGTTGTCGTCTCTTCACTTTCTACTGTGGTATGGTCAATATTTTGCAATTAATTCATTCTGATAATATAAAGTATACAATTATATATTAATAAACTATATTTACTTTGCTACAGGGAGCAAGTTATTAGTCACACAGTATAAGAGTATTACCAAAGTTAAAAGCATTGAGTATTTGCAGGAAGCTGGAGGGCAGAGATTTACATCTACCTCTGGTTGGTAAACACTTCATTTACTCACCCATGACATTGGCAACTTTTTCCACAATGCGGGAATATTCTTAATAAAACAAGCCAATGTTGACTAAATGAGTATAAAGTGTCTCACCTTAATTCTTATGTTATGTTCTAATACGTGAACGGATTTGAGCGAATATAAATAGGAGTTGCCTCTAAGGGGCCAATAACTTTGCAGTTTCCTTAATTCTCATGTTCTTACCTGTTCTCTGGAGTCATTTCCCAGAGTTACTAATAGAGCTCTGTGGCCTAGTCTGGAGTTGTTGTCGATCAGAGTCTTTACTCGCCCATCCACAGTCATTTTCTCAGACTTGAGCATTGTGAAAATATATTCCGGCTTCACTGCAACAATTCCAATACATGTATGGAGGAGACTATAGCCCTGGGCGCGTGGTGACCATCATAGCCCTCGAGGCTCGCCCTGGTGCTGGTGCAGGGCTGGCTACCAGGCAGTGCCCTATGCACCCCGATGTTCCCGTGGACCGGAAAAAAAAACTCCGAAGCCTGGAGTTTTATAATACACCGCCAGACGACGGGAAAAATAATAATGCTGCACTCTAGGGCTAGTAAAATGCACGGTACAGTGACACAGGGGTCGTCCAGGGGCTCGCCGTGGTGTACCTCCTCAAGTCCTCAAGAGTCGCCAGGCCTCCACTGCCAGCCGCCCCCGTTATTATAACCTCACTCAACGCAATAAAAGCGACAACGGCGTTAATATCTGACTCATTTAAGTGTTTCTTTATTGTAAAATATAAAACAACAACCACAACAACTTCCTATATCTCCTCTGTTTTTCTTCGCATAAGTTTTAAAGGAGAAGTAATACAAAATTTCTGTTTAGATAACAGTTTTGTGTATGTAAACAAAACATCTTTTTCAATACATAAAACAGTGTTTTTTTCCTTTTATAATGCAAATGATGCTAATAATGTCAATACTAATTCTGATAAGTTTGCTTCTAATTCAAATTGTTCTAAAATACATTCATTAATAACATTGTGAAAGGTGTTGATGGGAGTCAGGTGCAGTGTTGCTAGATTGGGCTACAAGTAGCGAATTGGGCTACTTTTGAGAGTCCCGCGCTCCCAAATTTTTAATTTCGCTACTTGCTAGTTTTTGGGCTAATTTAAAAACAAGATGGGCTACTTTGGGCGATTAATGTTAAGAAACTTAATGATGATTATTTATGGTCAGATGCAACACAAACAAGCACCCCGCGATAGCAGCCACAGACACGATTTGAATGGGAACACAGCACTTTGGTCCTTTCACGACCAAAGATCACATTCACCCTCCAAAAAATCTTCCACTTACGGGCTATTCATGCCCGTGAGTAAATTTAGGGAAACCATGGAACCACCTTCCCGACGAAGCCGTAAATGATAAAACATTGCTCGATAAACTCACCAGGGTAAATAGGGGACATTTGACAAGCCGCCGGCTTCCTATCCTCTTAGCTAATTAAATAATCCTGAAAAGTTTGTTTATTGAAGACAGGGTTGTGTTAGCAGCATTATACTCTCTGAGCAAAGCGATGCACTGTTGGCCCCCAACCCAGACGGTTGGCACTGGGGCCCATGCCTGTGGACCTGTACTTACAACCACGTTCTCGTCTGTGGACCCTCCCTTCTTTGGTAGGGGTCTCGGTGTGCTTGGTAGAGTTAGGGGATGTTTGTCTGGTTAGATGAGGTGTTTGTTTGCTAGGCCTGTGGGTACACAACTGGTCGGGATATGGTCGTTTCCGACATGAGACGATTCGGCTAAATTCATTTTCTGTTTTAAAACCGGATGTATTGTTATGCTAGGCTGTATTAGGTTATGTTATTAAGGTTAGGCTGCATTGGGCTCGGTTGGATTAAATTGGTTTGATTTGGGTTACGTTAGGATGGGTTGAGCTAGGTTAGTCAGGTTTCAAAATTCAAAATTCCACTACGTCACGAAGCAGCCTCTGTGGCGTAGTGGTAAAGCACGCGCCCGGCTCTTCGGCAGCACTTTGACCTGGATTCGTATCCTGGCCGTATGATATTCAGATCTATAACTACTTTAGAAAGGTCTATAATGCATATTAATATTAATTTACACATTCCTGGCGCTATACACTAGGAATTTCAATATGGCGTTCAAATAATTTTAGGCAGGGGGTCTCTGTGTCGGTTGGTCGCTAACGGTTCATTGACTGACCTCGCCAGTCGTTAGGAAGCAGCGGCGGCGTGAGCATCGTCGTTCCCCTCTAGGTAAGGCTGATAATTTTTTTTTTTTTTTTTTTACTAATATATTTGAGCAGTTGGGAGGTACGCATGAATATATAGTCTACCACCACCTACAATGCTTAATGCATTATACATTTCTTCGCTATTATAACACAGGTTTAGTAATGTCTCCGAGGGTCATTGTTTCCATATTGTTTTTTTCATCCGGGTTCTGTAGTATTCAAATGTTTGTATTCCAATAATGCTAAATATTGTCCTCTCTCGGTTTTTGTCGAAGATTTTTTTTTTTTGAGATATATACAAGAGTTGTTACATTCTTGTACAGCCACTAGTACGCGTAGCGTTTCGGGCAGGTCCCTGGAATACGATCCCCCGCCGCGAAGAATCGTTGATACAACCAAGTACACATTTTACTGTTGAGTTAAACAGGCTAAATCAACCAGGCTACAGTTAAGGATTTGCGCCCAGTAAATCCTCCCCGGCCAGGATACGAATCCATTTTGAGGATCATGATTTGCCAACATTATATGGGTAGGATATTATGTAGAAGACACTTTCCCAGAGTGTTAAACTGCCCCGTCGTCAGGCTAGGCTCGTTAACCCGGCGGTCGACCACCCCCCGCACCCCCCACCCACCCTCCCAAGACGCATTTATTATCGACTTTCATGTACTGTGTATTAAAAAGTTTTTATCGTGTATAAATTAATTTTACATTGTTTAATTAGGCGTATAGTAGGTTCGGTATTTAGGTTCTGTTGGTAATTATTTGCACTTGAAGTATGTGGAGGGTGAAGCATTTACAGTTGCCTGTCCTCAGGCCAGGCTCGCCTACGCTGCCGCCCAACCCAAGGCCTCAATTCAATTTTTCTTTATTATGCACCCTATACCCATCCCGTGGGCGGTGATCGCATTCGTCAATTTCATCACACTGCGCATTCAGAATTATTCTCGCCTATAAGATAAAACAGTATTATTTCATCAAGTTAATAGTTTAAAAACTAAGTTTAGTGACAAGCGACAGTCGTGTGTACACTGCAATAGATGAACAACTTTCCAACAGGAAGAAGCAGGAGATACCTCTCCAGGAACTGAATTTACCTGAGGGTCACTACTCCTCGATGAGGACAGTAAGCCGGCGGCTTGTCAAACGTCCCCCAATTTGCCCTGATTTTTTTCCAGTTGTATTTTAAAACCCAGCGGAGTTTTGGCGTTTACGTCTTCGGCGGGTAGGCGGTTCCACGGGTTTACAACCCTATGGGTGAAAAAGCATCTCCTGTTAGCTGTCCAACATTCTGGCTTGTTGAGAGTGAACCCGTTGCTCCTTGTTCGTGTACAGAGCTCAATTGTTTGTTTACTATGGCACCATAGTGGGTTTCTAGGGCAAGTGGAGGAGTTTAGGTAGGGATAAGGAGATTTTTGTTTGGTCGAGCTAGGAATGGTTTGGTTGTGCTCTGGGACTTTTTAGCTTTGTGGGGGTTGGATGAGATGTATACTTGCTAGGCTTAGTTGCACAACTGGTCGGGGTCTAGTTACACAACTGGTCGAGCTTCGGTTACACAACTGGTTGGGGTCCGGTTTCATAACTGGTCGGGTTCCGGTTACAAAACTGGTCGGGCTCCGGTTACATAACTGGTCGGGCACCGGGGGTGTCACTGGGGCTTAGGGTTGTGCATGATCGGGCTTCGGTTCGTGCATGGTTGTGCTCCAGGGGTTGTGTGATATTGCCTCATGTTTCTTTGCTAGATCATCAGGTTGTTCCTCGACTATGACTAATTGCATGTTTATTTTCTAGGGCTTCATTGTTGTATTTTTTGCAAGAATTCCAGGTTTCTTTTGTTGTATAGGGCTCAATTGTTTGCTTTGGCTCCAAAGTTAGTTCTTAAGGCAAGAGTGGGGGGGGGGGGGTGTTGTTAGGTAGGGCTAAGGAAGGGTTTGTTTGGTAGACCTAGGGAGGGAGTTTGGTTAGGCTCTGGGGCTGTTTGTTTGGCTTGGTGTGTGGTGTGTTTTCGTGTAGGCTTGATGAGTTGTTTCCGGTTACAAAACTGGTGCTAGGCTTGATCGGTTACACAACTGGTTTGTCGTTACACAACTGGTCTTGGTCTGGTTACACAACTGGTCGGGCTTCGGTTACACAACTGGTCGGGCTCCGGTTACAAAACTGGTCGGGCTCCGGGGGTGTCACTGGGGCTTCGGGTTGTGCATGATCGGGCTTTGATTCGTGCATAGTTGTGCTCCAGGGGTTGTTTGGTTCGTTCATGCTAGGTTTGTGGTTACACAACTGGTCGGGGTTCGGTTACACAACTGGTCGGGCTTCGGTTACACAACTGGTCGGGCTCCGGTTACAAAACTGGTCGGGCTCCGGGGGTGTCACTGGGGCTTCGGGTTGTGCATGATCGGGCTTTGATTCGTGCATAGTTGTGCTCCAGGGGTTGTTTGGTTCGTTCATGCTAGGTTTGTGGTTACACAACTGGTCGGGGTTCGGTTACACAACTGGTCGGGCTCCGGTTAATAACTGGTCGGGCTCCGGTTACACAACTGGTCGGGCTCCGGTTACATAACTGGTCGGGCTCCGGGGGTGTCACTGGGGCTTAGGGTTGTGCATGATCGGGCTTCGGTTCGTGCATGGTTGTGCTCCAGGGGTTGTGTGCTATTGCCTCATGTTTCTTTGCTAGATCATCAGGTTGTTCCTCGACTATGACTAATTGCATGTTTATTTTCTAGGGCTTCATTGTTGTATTTTTTTGCAAGAATTCCAGGTTTCTTTTTTTGTATAGGGCTCAATTGTTTGTTTGCTTTGGCTCCAAAGTTAGTTCTTAAGGCAAGAGTGGGGGGGGGGGGGTTTGTTAGGTAGGGCTAAGGAAGGGTTTGTTTGGTAGACCTAGGGAGGGAGTTTGGTTAGGCTCTGGGGCTGTTTGTTTGGCTTGGTGTGTGTTTGATGAGTTGTTTTCATGCTAGGCTTGCGGTTACACAACTGGTTGGGGTCCGGTTACACAACTGGTCGGGCTTCGGTTACACAACTGGTCGGGCTCCGGTTACAAAACTGGTCGGGCTCCGGGGGTGTCACTGGGGCTTCGGGTTGTGCATGATCGGGCTTTGATTCGTGCATAGTTGTGCTCCAGGGGTTGTTTGGTTCGTTCATGCTAGGTTTGTCGTTACACAACTGGTCTTGGTCTGGTTACACAACTGGTCGGGCTTCGGTTACACAACTGGTCGGGCTCCGGTTACAAAACTGGTCGGGCTCCGGGGGTGTCACTGGGGCTTCGGGTTGTGCATGATCGGGCTTTGATTCGTGCATAGTTGTGCTCCAGGGGTTGTTTGGTTCGTTCATACTAGGTTTGTGGTTACACAACTGGTCGGGGTTCGGTTACACAACTGGTCGGGCTTCGGTTACACAACTGGTCGGGCTCCGGTTACAAAACTGGTCGGGCTCCGGGGGTGTCACTGGGGCTTCGGGTTGTGCATGATCGGGCTTTGATTCGTGCATA